TATGTAATATTGAGAACTGTATTGTTAGCTTGGCAGGCTGGATTGCTGCCAAGGGTTATCTGTGCTGGTTTGCTGCCAAGGACCTGTCTGTCTGTGAATAAATTCCGTAAAGTATCTTTGGATCGGAGTGCTTTGGTGTGGGCCCAGAGTGGGGGCAGAACAGATCCAGATACTTGGCAATATCCTGCAATTATGACAATTCTCAATATTACATAGTCACATGATCATTTGTGACGTTCACTGTCATCTTCCATCAAGCAAAGTCAATGGGGAAGCTGGCAGGAGGTCACAAATGGCAATTACAAGACGGTTGAGATGCTGCAACTACCTGAAATTTGCCACCACTCTCTTGTTAAGTCGGCACAATCATGTGAAGTTGTGCTTTATGACTGGGTCACTTAGCAACAGAGCTGGCTGCTTCAATTACCATAATTAAGTTAAGAGCCTGCTAGGTAAAGCAACGCTTAAATCATTTCAGCATTCTGTTCTCAAAATTGCCAAACAGGCATCTACAAATATGGTTATGGTTCACGGAAACTGTACCGCCAGGCATTTCACACTCAGGATAACACACAGTAATCATGATTAGTAGATTTTGGTCTAATCCACTTAAAGAGGTTTGTGGCGATCGTTGTGTTTTATGGCAGGATGCCATAAAACATTTTTGTGCAAAAGAACTCTTTTTCTATATTTTATTTTCTGCAAAAATTATACTCAATATGGTTGCCTTTTTTCATAGAAGAGTTATGACCGATCACTTTGTTCCTTGCATTTTTGCAGCTCTGTATCACTTTCTGAGTGTGAGCAAACCTGTATCGTGACCCGACAAATGCGCGCCGACGAAACCGCGCCGACGAAATCACGCCGCGATGAAAAAAAACACCATAGTGGGATGCGAAAACGTTAGGGGTTAGGGTTATAATGTTGTTTTCGCGTCACGGAATGTTGTTTGTTTCGTCGCGGGGTGGTTTCCTTGGCGCGGTTTTGTCGGAGCGCATTTGTCGAGCGCGCATTTGTCGGTGAACCGGACTGTATAAGGTTCTGCCAGTTTTACTCTGGAGAACTTTCCTAATAATGTTGATCGATATAAATCTGCCTATTTCACAACAGTTACATCCCAAGTCAAAGCTTTCATCATGCCATTCGGCACCATCAACCTCCAGTGAAACCCATATTTTTTTTTTAGTCATTTATTTGACATTTATAGGCCGCCCTTTTCCCTGAGGGGACTCAGGGCGGCTTACAATTTGTAGGAAGGGNATAATCTAATAAAAACACAAACAGAAAGCTGGCAAGAATAGCATTACATGGTCAATTATTACAAAAAAAAAAAGGGGGGGAAGTGGTTAAACCGTAGGCCATACAAGCTTCTGCCAAAAAATTGCACAGACTATAAACAATGACATAACCCAATCACCAAAACGATTCACTGGAACTTCTATAAAAATTACCATTTGCCAATAATGAAAAATCAATGGGAACATATAGCTGAAAAAGTAGTTGAAATGAAGCAGATTAATGAAAATGAGACGGTTAAAATATTGTGGTACAGGTAGTCCTCATCTTAAAACAGTTCATTTAGTGACCGTTCAAAGCTACAACTACAGTAAAAAATATCCCTTATGATCATTTTTCAGAGTTACGACTTTTGCAGCATCAGACACTTGGCAATTGGTTCATATTTATGATGGTTGCAAGCAAAGTCAATGGGGAAGCCAGATTCACTTAACAACCAGGTTACTAACTTATCAACTGCAGTGATTCACTTAAGAACTGTGACAAGAAAAGTGAAAACTCACTTAAAATGTTTTATTTAACAACAGAAAGTTTGGGCTCAATTGTGAGCGTATGTTGAGGACTACCCGTATTTCCAAATGCAAACTGATAATCTTGGTATATAACACACCAAATTTAACTGTGGTTGAAAAGAAGAAAATGTGGATGATTGATGTGGCAATACCAGGGGGCAGCAAAATAGAAGATAAAGAACTGGAGGATCACAAAGTATCAAGATCTGCAAATTGAAGTTGAAAGATTATGGCATAAACTGGCAGTGGTGATCCCATTGATTATCAACAAACTGGGTGCCACACCAAAATATCTTGGATGGCATTTAGAAAATCTGCACATTGGCAACATTTTCATTCATCCATAACATGAAGCCACCTTGCTATGATCCGCACATATCCTATGTTGAGAAATTACAACATCTTGGGAAGAACTTGATGTAAATCAGGGATATTAAAACTAGGTAACTCTAAGACTTGTGGACTTCAACTCCCAGAATTCCCCAGCCAAGTTGGGGAATTCTGGGAGTTGAAGTCCACAAGTCTTAGAGTTGCTAAGGTTGGATATCCCTGATGTAAATGAAGGCCATTACCAGTTAAAGTTCATTAAATATATAAGCCACTTGACTTTAAGAGACTCTTAAAAGCTGCTCAGAGATGGCACTGCATCCTGATAGCAAAGATTAGTTTCAGCAGTTTAATCTATATATTATAGATTAATACAGAAATAAAATCCAAGACTAAGAAAATAATCAGGAGACACTTCTTTGATTTTCTCATAGTTTCTTTTGCCAGTTTAATTTTGGAGAATATTTAAGATAGTGGCCTAAATATATAATAAGCTCTGTCCATAGGCACAATTTAATAAAAGCAGATGATCCAGATATATTTTTCAATTTCACAGTTACAGAATAACCAATCAATGAAAAGCCAGCAGCTTATTGATTTTCTCACTGCTCTGCGGTGGTTGCTCTCTTCCTACCCTGCTTTTTGTTTAAAAAAAGTTTCACAGGACAATAAAAAAAATTAAGATATACAAGGACAGTAGATTGGCTAAAGAACATTCTGGACTTTTCACCAAGCAGGACAGTGTAGCTGTTCCATTCCTTTTGGGCAGCATTGCACAAAGTGTACCCTGCAACTCCATGGGTTCTAATAATGTATTTTTCACAGCACTAAGCCTAGCATATTCAAAACCAGAACAAGAAAAAAAATTATACAAACCTGGGCTGGCACTCTGGAGTAAACTAGGGGGGGAGCCTGGGGGCCGGAGTTGCAAATCCCTTTGCTATAAGAGAGAGAGAAGAGACACAAATAATCACATATACTTCAGCTCCATGCCAAAACTGGTTTAGTTTCCACTGAGCAAGCCCCAATTCCCTGAATTCAAAGCTTTCAGCTTTCTCCTCTGAACTCAAAAACACTCTGATCTGGCAGGACAGCCATATTAGTAAAGACCAGGGGTGAGTTCCTGCCAGTTCTAACTTCTATAGAAGAGGTTCCACAAATCTACTGTGCCGTTTAGAACCGGTTCCAGCTCCCTCCCCCGCTTGTCTGCACATCATCAAGATGAAGAGAGGAGGAATTCTGGGAGTTGAAGTCCACAAGTCTTAAAGCTATCAAGTTTGAACACCTCTGGGGGTTTTTTTCCTAAAGGGTTAGGGGTGCAAGGGTCTTGTAACTTGACAGCTTTAAGACTTGCACACTTCAATGCCAGAGTTCCCGAGCCAACATGACTGGAGGAGGAATTCTGGGAGTTGAAGTCCACAAGTCTTAAAGCTGTCAAGTTTGAACCCCCCTGGGAGGTTTTTTTTTTCCCTAAAGGGTTAGGGGTGCAAAGGTCTTGTAACTTGACAGCTTTAAGACTTGCACACTTCAATGCCAAGTGTTCTCGAGCCAACATGACTGGAGGAGGAATTCTGGGAGTTGAAGTCCATTAGTCTTAAAGCTGTCAAGTTTGAACACCCCTGGGAGGTTTTTTTTTTCCCTAAAGGGTTAGGGGTGCAAAGGTCTTGTAACTTGACAGCTTTAAGACTTGCACACTTCAATGCCAGAGTTCCCGAGCCAACATGACTGGAGGAGGAATTCTGGGAGTTGAAGTCCACAAGTCTTAAAGCTGTCAAGTTACAAGACCTTTGCACCCCTAACCCTTTAGGGAAAAAAAAAACCTCCCAGGGGTGTTCAAACTTA